ATGACGTCATTGGCGAATGAAAAACGATTCGGTCATGACGTCATACAAAATGGCGACTCATGACGTAATAGCACCTGAAAGTGATGACGTAATGCAATTAATTTCTTTTCTGTACGAATAAGCATTTATTTACGTGAATAATAAGAAATTTTACAATATTTAAATATTACAAATTAGAATTGTAGTTTTGAAATTATAAAATTTTAACATGAACTATACTAGAAAACTTTTACAAATTATTCAATCTTAACATATTAATAACAGTATATTTAATGAAAATTGTTGTATATCTAATGAACGTAATTCTATTTTTGGGGCGTGAAGTGTGAAGTGTTGCATAAGTATTCTATCGCCACTTCCTTATACATCAAACAGCCTGCCTATTTTTCATTATTTCATTCTATCGCCAGTTCATTGCATCAAATGCCAGGATACAGATTATGCACATATGACATACTGCCCCAAATTTTGGAAGTTTTCTAAAACAAATTCAAACATAATGTGATTTACTGTATATATATAATATATATATACAGCTACCATATGTGTAGCTACCTACATGTTCAGTGTACAAATCTCCATCATCTTAAAGTCGCTTTTACACATACATTTTTAACACTGACTGATTTCATTCTATCGCCAGTTCATTACATCAAATGCGAGGATACAGGATATTCATATATGATGTACTTCTTGGAAGTTTTCTAAAACAATTTGAAACATAATGTGTTTTATTGAATCTAATAAATATATACCACTCCATATGTGTAGCAACTTACATATTCAGGAGACAAATCTAAATCGTCTTCGAGTCGCTTTTGCACATACATTTTTTTTAACCTGATTGAATTCATTATATCTTCAGTTCATTATACATCAATACATCAATCAAGTTCATGCATATATGACATACTGTTCCCATTTTAGAGGTTTTCTAAAACAATTATAAATATAATGTATTTGTTACCAAATAATATATATACAGCAACTATATATGAATCAACTTACATATTAAGAAGATAAATCTCCATTATCTTCAAGTTGCTCCTAAACATACATTATTTGAGCCTGTCTAAAGATCTGTATATTGTTCATCGTTTCATCCCAATTTTGTACGACTTCTGAAATAAATATGAACATGGCATACGTGTTTGCTGTTTATATATATTTGTATAGCTATTATATTTGTAGTGACTTACATATTCAAACAATCATTCTCGATCCGCTTCTCAACCGACTAATTTAAGAGATTTAAGAAGTGAGGTTATGTCGAACACATGGATATGTTAATGTCTTAATTTAGTAAAATAATTATTTTAACCTTGCTAAACGATCCTTATTATTGTCCTCAGATTTTGTAAGATATGCTATTTGGTTACCTCCTTTGTCATCTAAAGAAATCGACATAATATATTCATCCCAGGATATAATGCACTAAATGGAATTGAAAATCGTGAAGTAATTACATATCTATATAAATAATATATGATATACTTACGGTGTCATTTTTCTACACTTTTCTACAATTATCATAAACAAGTTGCTTAACTAAACGAATGTAATTATTATACTAAAGAAAATATAACTTGATGCATGATAAATTCGTGACATATTGCGCCATTTTGTAATTTTGTACGCGGTAAGTTTAGCTTTCGTCAAAGGAACAGTCAACCCGCTTGAGTCGGTTCCACCAGTGGCCACGGCGCGCTGATGTAAAGCTTTCTTTGTATGGTAACACACACCAGCACACAACGCACACAACGCAGCGCACGACGCGTTTGCTTCACGCCGTGTGACGTCATTGATTATGCTTTGCATGTGTGCTAACACACACCAGCGCACGACATGTATCTCACATGAAATTCAACGATGTCATTACCCCCGACAGCGCGTGTTTATGTCTCGTGAGACAACTCAATGCGAGCTTTGCGTGTATTGTAACACACACAAGCGCACGCAAGTTTAAAATCCTCTTGTGGCGTAGATTCGATAACCGCATTATAATAACGATGTCGATATTATAGAAGATCACATCGCGTGTTTACTGGGTATTTATATTGATACCTTAGAACTGCAACTGGATCATTATAATATGATTTATTATTCCTCAATCTATGCCTTGCAACAAATTTTCTTAATAAACGAGAGCATGATTTCAACACTTGTTCATCACTTAAAGATTCCATAATTTTAGCTGATGGTCCTGTCACCCATCCACAAAGTACATCAGGACATTGATCAACAGTATAAAATCCAAATACATCAATGAGCCATTTTTCCTTTTCTTTCTGTTTAAAATTACAACAACAACGATAATTAAGTGATTACATTTATACTAATACAACATGTTTCTCTAATACCTCTCTATCCTCGACAGTCCACAATAACCTGATCCCATTCCAATCAGGAAGCCACCATTTTGATTCAAAACGAAGAAATATTTTATCAACAATTCCAAAGCCTAGATTTTCTATGCATTTTATTTTATATTGTGGTAAATCTGGTTTGAATAAACTGGAGCTGAAAAATGCAATGAAATTAATATATTTTGGGAGCAGCAAGTCAATTGTAAATATAGTCTATATCAAAAGATCAAAAACAAATTATATTTTCATAAATAATATAAAATAGGACTTGAACAACTGTGTTTATTAATACCTATTTTTTAGAACCCCCAATGGTACAGTAACAATAACATGATCAGCTTCATAGCATGAATTATCTTTGCATTTTATAGTGACTGGTTTTTTAGATAAAGGCTGATTCCATTCTATAGAAATAACTTCTTTTTTGAATTGTATATCCAAATTTAAAATCTTTTTTGGGTCAGGGTACTTGTTCTAGAAAAAAATTAGGAAATACTGATTATTATCATTTTTTTATTCTATTTTTTTTTTCTTTTTGATTTTGATTTTCAATACCATAACTTTTAACTTATAGATTGTATTGTAATCTGATTGTTAAAAATAACAGAAATAAAAAAAAAAAAAAATATTTCTTTTGATGCATTTATTAACTTCCCATAGGGTAAGTTATAATAATCGCAAAAAAATGGTAAAAGAACGTTTTTATATATCTTTACGTTTTAGAGGTTTCTGAACATTTTGGCATAGAAAAATAGATGTATGTGTGTGTTGTGTGCGGATACAAATTTTCGTCGATGATTTCGGGAACATCGATCAACCGATTTGAATAATTCAAAAAACATTCGATTCGTATTGATTAGAAGACGTGCTGATTAGTTTTTGACAAAGGCAGGTCTAGCCGTTCCAAAGATACGAGGCAAAAAGTGCGAAAAACGATAACTTAGTTTTTAAGAGAATGGAGAGTCCGATTTTCATAATTCAAAAAACATTTTACTTGTATTGACAAGATCCGTGTTCCCGAATTCGTCCACAAAAATTTGTATCCGCACACACACACACTCACATACATATACACACACATACTTCCATTTTTTGCTAAGGTATGCCAAAATGTTCAGAAACCTCTGAAACTCTTTTTTGCGATTGCTATAACTTGTCCTAAGGAAAGTTACCACTAGGGTTTTGAATGAAAAAAACAACAAAAAAAACTTTTAAAACTGATAAAATATATCCTAATTGAAGCCTCACACAAATGTGTCGAGTATATAAAAAAATTCGGTGTAAACTTATAATATAACACATAATAAAATATTTACCATCAAAACATCTAAAAACCTTATATATCCTGCTCCTTTCCAATTCAATATTGGATGACCAGGACATTCATGATATTCCAACGATCCTTTAGCAGAACTTTCAAACCAATTGTCTGATGCATCAATACTATTATTAAACTTGTGACACCAATCTAAGTATTGCTCGGCAAGATCACCATTGATATCTTGATACTCATGTTGTTTCAAGAGATTGTTATATCTATAAGTTATAAAATGATTATCATTTATAATTCGATATGGTCTATATGGTTTTTGTTAATAAAAGATTCTTTTGAGTGAAACATGTGAGTTAATTATAAACCCTTATTAACTTCCTGTAGGGTTTGTTATAGTAATCGCAAAAAAATCGAAAATGAAATTTTTTATATATCTTTACGTTTCAGAGGTTTCTGAACATTTTGGCATACCTTAGAAAAAATGGATGTATGTGTGTGCGGATACAAATTTTCGTCGACGATTTCGGGAACACGGTTCAACCGATTACAATTATTCAAAAAACATTCGATTGCTGTTGATAAGGAGACGTGCTGATTAGTTTTTGGCGAAGGCAGGTCTAGCCGTTTCAAAGATACGGGGCAAAAAGTGCCACAAACGGTAACTCAGTTTTTAAGAGGACGGGGCGTCCGATTTTAATAATTCAAAAAACATTTTACTTGTATTGACAAGATGAAGCATTGATCAAATTTTTATGAAGGCAGGTCTAGCGGTTTCGGCGATCTAGCGGAAAAGTAAAAAAAATGCCATTTGGCGATCAAAAATGATCATTGGACATATGCACATCAAATTATCAGATATTTTATAGAGATTTTAACAATGAGTATAAATTTTGTTTGCATTCCTATGGGTTCCGTACCAATGTTTATCCGTTAGACGGCGACGCGGCGCTTAGGCGCTTCGATATCACGTCTCTATGCATTTAAGGGGGGCGATACATGTAATCGCCGTAATTTTTACCATTTTTTGAGGACTTTTTAAACTGGGAAGGAATGATTGAATCTTTTTGAACTTTTATAGGGTTATTTATTATATATTAAAATACACAAAAAAAAATTTTTTGTAATTTTTTTTTTTAAATGGCTGCCGTAAAAATAAATCTGCCAAGACCCTCTCGGAAAACGCCATCAATTTGCGGGCGTTCTCACTTTTCGTACGGTGATCTGAATTTAAAAAAAATAGTTTGTACGTGTTCATAAAACATATATCTTCTAGTTAAACCAAAAAAAAATTAAAAAAGTCACAAAATCGTAAATTGGCACACTTTAGAAAAAAAAGTTCGATTTTTCACCTTTTTTTCAATGGTTTTTTTTGGTAAAAGGGTTAATTTTTGAAAAAATTTTTGGAATGTTTGAGGTTTAACTAGAAGCTATTACTGTAAAGTATATGTGTGCAAAATTTCAAACGCCCGCAAATTTCAAAAATGTCGTTTTGAGAAAAACGCGTTTAAAGTTTTGACACAGAAACAGATAAGAGAGTACAATAGCACTCAAGCGTCGAGTTGAGGCGTGGCACTTAAATGAGTTTTTATTGTATAAATAATGATAATTTTGTTTTGAATATTTACAGGCATATTTTTGAGATGTTATTGTAACGATTTATGAAATAAAAAAAAATCGATTTTTTTTTCTTGTTATATGTATCGCCCCCCTTAAAGCAGTACGATAGCTTTGAAAAAAAGTTACACGAAGCTAATTTATGATAATATCACATTTCTTTGTCATACCAACATACGACGCTCAACCGAGAATAAAAAAAGTGTAACAACATTGAAAGACAAAAAACCTATGTGCGTCAAACAAAACTGTCAAACAAAAAAACAAAACTGTCAAACGTCAAAATAGTACACCCATTGTTATATTGTCTCTCACCTCTCACATTTAGACACCTTTTAGACAGTTAAATAGAAATCCCAAATGTAAGTATATAATTATTTACGAAAGCGGTTCTTTTACATTTACATGGTCATACATTGTCTCTTCACAACCAATATTATTTCAGGGAACCAAACATATAGTTATTCAAAACCTAGTACAGTTTTGTTAGAAATTATTAGGAAATTTTTAATTAGGGCTTCGCAGAGTGTTTTAGTGTAGTTATTTTATTTACCCAGGTAAATGTTATTCAGGTTGTTTTTGTTTGCTTAGTGTGTTTTAATTCTATTGTAGGGTTCACTGAATTAAGATTAGGACTTCAGCCTGAACATCAAAATAGCTACAAGAGTCTTGTAGCATGTAACATCTGATTATTAGAACTTAACTCATATGTATGCATGTATATATATATATATATATATATATATTAAATGCTAGCATATGTATAGTAATGTAATAAACTTAAGTTCAGTCCGATATTTTTGCCTATTTTTATCTTTAAGTGATCTGATTACTTTTTCTAACAATGATTAACATAGGTAATAAGGAACACAATTAAAACCATCTATTTATTTCATCAAATATTTTTATTCAAAATATATACACATACTATTTACAATATAAAGCATGTCACAGGAAACATGTAATAAATAATATAGAATAAATATAAATAATATAGAATAAATATAAATAATATAGAATAAATATAAACATTGAAATTAAACATAAAAAAGAGAAAAAAATTGCATTTTGAAGAAATGATTAGCCAAACCAAAGTTAAACTTAATACATAGTTTCAATACTTATCTTTCACCACTAATATATTATATTAAAGTACTTATCATCAATTGTCTTGTCATCAGTTTTTGATTTATATCCTGAATTGCATTTTACATAATGCTAAAACTCCTTCCGCTCTATGTCCGCTTTCCACAATTCAAAATCTACAAAGTCAAAAATGTAGGTAATTGTGTAATTGGGGTTATAAATTATGAGAGAGAAGACTTCAAACCTTTAATGTTTTGAAACACAAACTGTTCATAATCAATTGTAGTTTTGTGATAAAACTCAATATGATCGTATAAACCTGTGTACCTAGAAAAAACAGAGGAGCAGGGAGGGAGTGGACATCTTATTCTGGATTTCCTTGATGGTGTACCTACAAAAATGATTTATATGTAACACAATAATAAATAAAATGAATGTACATATATAAAAGCACTACATACCTGTAAAATTTTCCTTAGTACTGATTGGGGAACAGGGAATGGGAGGCGTGTGAATTTGAACTTTAATAGAGGAAGTGCAAGGATGCGGCAATAAACTTACGTGGGGATGTTTGTGAAGAGGATCTGATGTGGGTGATAGTAAATTGTAAGGTGATGTCAAGCATGTAGTAGTATATGAGGTGGGTAAAGAAGGATGCTTTATATTTGTTTTAGTGGAGGAGGAAAGGTGTGTAATGTCTTCAAAAGATACCGAAGAAGATTGGGCAGGTGAAGGGTTAGGGATATTATTATGAACTTGGCTCACATGACGAGTTAATAAATATTTAAATTTAAAAGTTTTAAGGCAGAAAGCACACGCATTGGGATAAACAGCTCTTGGCTCTTTGTCATGTTTTTGTCTTATGTGGCGATACAAGGAGCTACGAGCTGTGAATGGAATCTGACACTCGGTACAGAAAAAGTCGCTGTCCATGTTGCTACATAAGTAAAGTAATAAAGTGAAATATAAAATAAAAGTAATGAAGGTAATAAAACGTAAAGAAAATTAGAAGCTAAAAAGTAAATGTATAATGAGTAAAATCTAAAAATAAGCTTATAAAATATAATGTAACCTAATGTAAATGAGCAAAATCTAAAAATAAGCTTATAAAATAGAATGTGACCTAAAGTGAAATAAAAGTAAGTATCTAAATAGTAAAAATATGAAACGAAAAATAAACTTACGCAAGCTAAGTAAAAATCTAAAAAAACACGTAACTAAACTAAAGAGAAACTTACGCAATCTAAGTAAAAAATCCTAAAAAACACTTATTGTAACTATGAAATATGAAAAATAAGCATGAATTATAATAAGAAGCTTACTAATAGAGCAAAAAAAGCAACGCAAGGAAAGCGATCCAGAGCAAAAAAACGAAAAACCGAACCGAAATATGTGAAAAAAACTGTTATAAACAGAATTAGAAATAGCAACAGAACGAAAGAATTCTAATTACACGAAAAGAAAAAGCAGAAAATATAATAAAACGCTTACTTGAAACGAAACCGACGCGACGCTATACCATCACAAAAATGAGAAAAGAACGCGGGACTAAATATTCCACGAAATGACAGGTTATGCCATACATAAAAGAAGAGTTATGCTCTATCCCGGAGCCAACTTCAGAGCGTAGGTGCTTTTTAAACGTCAAAACCCATCTGTCACGTATCAGAATTTAGTGGCTCCTAAAAAAGTTCGAAATTTCCAAAATATTTCAAAATAAAGAAAACATTTTTTTTTCAAAAAAAAGGAAATTTTTGTCAAAATTGTTAATCTTTTTTTAAAAAAAAAATTTTTGGTACGAGAAGTTCTTTAAAGCAATTTGCCTTAAAGCACGATGCTACGCGCCCCACTAGTTTCTTATAATAATAATATTAATAAAGCACTTATTACAGATTTAGTTCAAATATACACAAATAGTTTATCTACAGTAAATGAATTTAAAATACCTATCTTTAGTGCTTAATTTATATAATTCTTTTATGTATCTAATTATGTATAATATGTATAAATAAACATATTTTTTTGCATATTGTGATGAAAGTAGGGCAGATATTCCTATTTAATACGCAGAATCTTTTGCACAGCATATTAATCTAACATTTATAAATCAGCAATTGATTATACTAATGTAGAGATCTATCTGATCTTTTAAAATCTTCTAATGTAAATATAAAAGGAAAGATTTTAAATACAGCTTATTCTCTGCATTTTGACTATATAGTCCAGTCATTATAGTAAGTTCACCTCGGAATTCGAGATACTCAGCTGTAAGTCTGTAAATACTTATACATTACACCCTAAAGTTGTCTCAAAACTTACATATGGTATTGAAACCCTACCATATGTAGGTTTTGAGATAACTTTAGGGTGTCAATATACAAGTATTTGTAGACTTACAGCTGTGTATCTCAAATTCCAAGATTCTTAACTAATTTAAGCTTAAATGACTGTACTAATAATAATTATTGATTGACACAACTTGTGCACAATATAATGATTAAGAATATATCCCAAAAACAACCCTTTAGCTTGATAGTTCAAAATGAAATAATGCTTGTATCAAAATTCTTCACATAAGTCATTATTTAAGAAAATGTAATATTCAACAGGACTATAGGGTCCGACTTACTTTTTAATTTTGAATTGTCCAACAGAAGTATCTGAATTGAATATATCATCATCATTTATACCAATTTCATAATAAATTTCTTCTAGTTTCTTAGAACAGTTCTTAGGGACAATTGTTCCATCTGATATTAAAATCTCATTATTCCAATACATTTCTGAACCGCTCAATAGATTCAGATCTTTTACAAGATCATATACAATATTTCCTTCTTCTCCATGACACCTGCAGAAAAGAAAACTAAAATTAATAACAATAAATAAACTTTAACTCTTCAACAAAATAAACAATTCGATCTGTGAACAAAACATGCAGCTGTAAACAATAATCAGCAATATATTGTTTAAACTATACAGATCAGAAATCGTCAGACTTTTTTTAAAACTATTTATTATTAATAATAATTATTAATAGTTTATATATCATTTATAATGGAGTTTTACATGCCATTGCGCTCCCAAATCTACTGTGTTGTTGTTGAAATTAGTGGTATAAATTCTACCACCAATTCTGTCACTGGCTTCTAAAATAACTACATTTTTTAAACCATTTTTTATTAATTTAACAGCAGCCGCTATTCCTGCAGCACCTGCTCCAATAATTATAATATTTTTTGCCATTTATATATTTTTAGGTTATGTCAGTTTCAATATTATTTTGCAAGGAAATATATTAACTATAAGCAACACAATCTGTTTTTGGAAAAGTTATCTAATTTTCATATACTAAATTCAACCTTTATTTTATAATCATTTTAAACTCATAAGCTTAATTATAGCTTAAGAATGTAAACAATTTAACTATCATTTTTTCTTTTATTTGTTTGCTTTATATGTATTAATACAATTATGTGCATTGCATTATCTTAAATGTCATCTGATAAAAGGTGCCAGATAAAAATATTTAAAGATAAAATTCAATCTTCTAGTAATTTGCACCATGATTTCTGAGCATATAAAAGACATGGATAAATAGATAAATAAACCTTGTAGAAAAATTAAGACTGAACCCAAAACCCAAAAAATATATTGAATAATTTGAAATTAATATATCCATATTATTATAATGGTTAATATTAAGTTTATTGGGCATATATATTATATTATATATTATTACATTACTTATACAAATAATTAAAAAAATCCAAATACGAAAGATCGATTTTTAAAATTACCGCGGTTAAATAGTAAAATAAACGTTAATTTCAAAATTCTAGTGGTGAATATTAAAATTATTTTAAAATTATAATTATAACGTGCTGCATTTATTTTTTATGCTTATTTATCAAAGACCTGCTGAATATTTTTTTTTATTTAAAAAAAAAAGTCTAAACAAATCAGAACATTAATTTTGCATAATTTTTACACGCGTTCAGAATAGTTTGCAAAAAAATAATGCATAATATTTAATACTTTATGCAATTTTTTGCCAAATGGTTCATAATTGTTAAGGATATAAAAAACTAATTAAAAAAAAATCTTATTATTAGAGTTTTTGTCCTTAATATTTACAGAATTATGTCGTTCTGGTTAGTGCATTTTATATATGTAAGTTACACCTAAATAAACAAATAATTATTGAGTTATTCATTTTTATTGAATATGAAATATATACAATTAGTAAAAATATAGTGCAAAGAGAATTGGTTATTGTTGATAAAAGTTTTCTACATAAGTATATCATTTGTATCAAAATTTTTAACTTTGAAAATTGGTTGAAATTTAATTTTCAATTTGCAATTTTTAATGTCATTGATTAAATTGTGCTTTGTGCATACATCAGCCTAGATAAAAAAGATTGGCACATGTTTCAAGTATTATTATTTAACTATAGTTTAATAAACATTATTATCACAATTTTTATATTGAGTATTGCTTATAGATTCAAGTATTATTTCTGCTTGTTCAATACCTGTCTTCATAGCACCGTGTGTTGTAGAGAAGAATTGTTCACTGCACGCTTCACCAGCAAATAAAATTCGGGGCTGTCCATTTTTGTCTAAAATTGGTGAAGCTAAATCCTTCCACCCAGTATTATTTTTATCACAGATAGGTCTAGTATGACTATATGATCCCAAAGTGTGAGGATCGGTATGCCACTTGCTCCTTTGAAAAATAGTAATAATGTTTTGACATGTATAAATGTATTATTTGGACCTCATTATTTATTCACCTGTACACTCGGCATGGTGTTGGTACTGGAATCTTCAGAATTTTTCGAAGTAATGTGACACAATCTTCAGCTATTTCATCTGCTGATCGTTCTTCAACTAGGATTGCGCCTCTGGCTCCAACCCATCCAACTAAAGTATTAGTAGCCCCTGGATATAAAACATCAAATCCAGACATGTCGTAAACCCAAGAGCTAGCCTGAAAGAGAATTACTTATTTATTACAAATTTGCAACAAATTTATAATTTTAACAATATTCATATAATCAGAATTAAAAAATTTGAAAATAAAATTAATGAATTTTATACTGACTTCATCAGGTTTACACTTTGATTCTGCATCAAACCATACAAATTGAAATCCCTCATTATCATTCCACCAAGCTTCTTCAAATTGTAAAAATATTTTATTGATCGTTGCAAAACCCATGTCTTCAATGGCTTGTGTAACATTTTTTGGTAAGCTGGGTTTAAACCAATTTTTATAATTCTTTTTTAATACTCCTAAAGATACAGTAACTATCACATAATCTGCATTGTATTCAATATTATCCATTGCGCAAACCTTGACACCATTTTCTGACCACTGTACAGATACTACTTCTTTATTAAATTCTAAAGTTTTTTTGGGTAAAGTATTACATAATTTTTCTATAACAGTACTATATCCGTGAAGGTAATTTATATGAGCTTGAGAATTCTCCCCTTCAAAGGAATATTTACCCCATGCTTTTGCTGACAAATCTTTCAAAGAAAGACATGAATTATCAATTATTTGAAATCGAACATGCCACTCATACAAATATTTTTTAATTAGGTTCATCTCAGCAGTGTCACTTGAACAAGTAGCTAAATACTTATCAAATTCTTCTTTTAAATAATTCTCCACGCTGTCTGGGTAATCACAACTTTCATTTTCAGCAAAAGCTTCCAAATTTTCCAAAATTTGACCCACAATGAAATCAATTTTATTTACAACACTATCGTTTATTGTTGCACCATATTCGTTTATATAAAGTCCTTGTCCCTCCATAGACGTTTTGTCTGATAATAATTTATAATGATCTGATACTTTAAATAAAGCATTTTTTGAACCATGTAACCATTGTGCACCAGCTTCCACAAAGTCATTTCCAAAATTTACAGTATTTATTCTACCACCTGGTCGAGATTTAGCTTCTAGTATTTTAACTGAGCATATTCCATCAGATTTAATTGAAGAATTAATAAATAATTTAGATAAATTGGTTTTAAGTAAGGTATGAGCAGCAGCCAGACCAGATATCCCAGCACCAATTACTAAAACGTTTTTGGATGAGGTGATACAATCAGATCTGCAGAAAAAATTTGAAGCCTTGAAGATTGAAGAAAAACATGACTACCATGCAATCTCATGCATCTACACCATCACCAAAACCAATATTTAAATAAATAATCTTTTACTTAATTATTTTGTTTAGAAAATATGGGTTATAGGATATAAATTCCTCAACCAATGGATTAAGAACAACATGTATAGAATTTTTACATACAAATGTATACTATGTACACAACAATTTATATTAGAACCCAAGAAGAATTTACTTTAATAACTATAGTTAGTCACACCAAGTTCAGAAAATATATGTTATATGTATTAATGTATTATTTTACATATATCATGTTTTTATTTGAACAGAAATATTAAGTTGTGAAATAAAAAAATAATTGTAAATGGTATTTTGCTTTATGGCAAGTTGCATGAACTTTCAGACATGTGTAAATAATAATCGACTTATTAATCTCAGATTTAGAGGAATCTGGTACCTTTACAATTTTTATCCAAATGTAAAAATACATGGAATTTTACCAAACTTGTAAAATATATCTTCATTTTTAAATGATTTCATGTGTAAAAATAATGTAAGTAGTAATAACAGTAAATAAATTATTCAAAAATATACAGCACAATATTTTCATAAGTGTCTTAATATGAGAGAAGTATTACTGAAAATTTATTCCAAATACATTATAAAAAGATCCATATTAGTAATGAAGAAAAACTTAATTTTAAAATTTGTAACTATGGTTATTAATTTAAAATAATACAGGCATTTTACATGAACATGCACATAAAGCATACAGAAAGTTTGACAAAACTAACCACAACATATAATTTTATTATCCTGATCTGGCATTTCTCATCACTGACCTCAAACTATTTGGATTCAAACTAATTATTCTAGTAGCTTCTCTGAAACCACTTTCCACAGCGCCATGAACTGTTGAATAATAGTTTTTGCTGGTTGCTTCGCCACCAAATAAAATAGCTGATCTAAAATATTTAATGATTCAATCAATGATCATCTATGATGTGATTACTAACTCTATGTACATTCAAATTACCGTCCCAAAGAATCGATAACTGGTTTAGACAATTCAAAAGAACTTCCTCCGTATTTTTCAGTTTTCAGTAAACGTAATGAATATGATCCTTTACTGTATGGATTTTCACCCCATTTACTCCTATAAAAGATATAAATTAACTATATTTTGGTAACATCAACAATACAATGGTGATTAATAAAATCATCATATACTGGAACATATAAACAAAATGTACTAAATAATACTAATACCAATAAATCTAATTACAAATAATTTACCTAAGGATTTCAACAGGATCACTATAAAGTATTTTGCTTTTCTTTCTGTGTTTTGCAACAAATCTTCTTAATAGGTCAGAGCATAATCTCAGTACTTCTTCATCACTCAAAGATTCCATAATTTTTGCTGAAGGACCAGTTACCCATCCGCAAAGTACATCTGGACATTGGTCAACAGTAAAAAAGCCAAATACATCAATAAGCCACTTATGTTCTTCATTCTATATTTTTTATTTTTATTATTATTAATTTGTTGAATACAACTAGTCAAATGTTAAATGCAAACCTCCTTATCATCAGCAGTCCATAATAATCTGATGCCATTCCAATCAGGAAGCCACCAATTTGACTCAAATCGAAGATATATTTTATCAACGACGCCAAAACCTAGATTATCTATGCATTTAAGTTTATATTCGGGCAAGGCTGGTTGAAATAATCTTGTGCTGAAAAAAAAGATAGAATAAATATCTCACATTATATATAAAATTATAAATAAACATATTTGATTAGATTTTATTCAGGTCTCAAAAAGAATTTTTTTTACTTATTTTTGAGGACTCCCAAAGGTACAGTAACAATGACATGATCAGCATCGTAAACAGAATTATCCTTGCATTTTATAGTGACTGGTTTCTTAGTTGAAGGCTGGTCCCATTCTATAGAAGTAACTTCTTTTTGAAATCGTATGTCCAAATTCAAATCCTTTTCCTTATCTGGGTATTTTTCCTAAAAAATAATAAAATAGCTTAATATACTAATTGTAAGTTAAAATTCAATGATTGTGTGTAATTCAATATAATTTTCAATTAATTTACATATTTAATAAAATGTATAAAAATAGAACATATTAATATTGTATGTGTAAAATAGTCTTAGTTTTTTATTTTTCATACAAGATTCATTCGTTTTTAATTTATCTATTTATTTAAATTGCTGAATATACACAAAATATTGAGGATTATTAAAGAAAGTATTGATTTTTTTAAACAACCTATACAAACTTTGTTAGTTTGATAAGAAATCTAGAATAGATTAAATTTCAATGATTTCTTGTAATTCATACCATTAAGACTTCTAGAAATCTAATATATCCAGCACCTTTCCAATTCAATAATGGATGTCCAGGGCATTCAAAATATTCTAATGATCCTTTAGCAGAACTTTCAAACCAATTGTCGGATGCATCAACACTATTAACACATTTATGGCACCACTCTAAGTATTGTTCAGCGAGAACTGTATCGATTAATTGATATTCAGTTTCCTTTAAAATATTGTAATATCTAAAATATAGTAATAAATTATGTAAAATAAAAACAGCATTATAATAATACATGTTACAGTAGAAGTTTATTAGTCCGGCACACTTGGGACCGGCCTAGGTAACGGACTATCAAAAACACCAGACTATCAGGAGGTGCCAAACAGTCCAGAGTACAAATTGGTGCAAAACAGTCTTTAAAGAAGGCAGCAGTCATTAGCACATGACAAAACGGTTAATCTGCCTTTGTTTTTCCTCTAAATAGGATTTTTCTCCTCCCCAGTTAAATTATTTCAACAATCAGAAATTTCTGAAACTAATCCTTATATTTTTCTGCAGAGGTTTGAATTTTATCTAAAAACTTAAAGTTTCTGAGCCAACCATCAGAATAATTACATACATTTTCAGCAATCTTGGACAAAATGTTTTACTTTTTCAACAATCATTGGACTTGTTACCGGTATTCCTTGCAAATGTACTGCACTAAATCATTTGAACAGTACACTATATAGGAGTTTCAGTTTTGGATTTTCAATGTTTGTCTAGAAGACAATGTTTCAATTGTTACCAAATGAGTAGCAAACATCATCTGTTTAAAACATTTGACATATTAGCTGCCGTCCATTGTTTCACTTTAATTACGCTTCTACAAACATTTCTAATTAAAAATTTTTCAAGACTGGTCATTTTATTTCATCCGTATATTTTATATTTTAGAGTTTTACCAGACCTAACATAATACTGAGCTCCATTTTTATATATAAGATAAACTCTTGAAAAAACAATTGAAATTGTTCCAGACTATCGGGCATTCTGGACTGTTGGGTGCCGGACTAATAGACTTCTACTGTATATAAATTTGGTTAAAATAACAAATATTCAGATAATATAATAACTGTAAATTATTAAGTTTTAAGTATTCATCGATCGTGCAATTTTGAATATTGTAATATTGATTACTATTAACACATTTATGTGTAAAAACAGTATAGCTTATACAATTAATTTTAAATGCTGGTTAATTTGGAATATATTACCAATCTCATGAGTTTTAATCATTGAAAATATTGTCAATGTGTAAATATTGTATGAAGTATTAAAATATATTTTCTTTATACTTATTTGTCACGTATTGTCCAACTGACAGGTCAGGATCTATTATATCATCCTCATTGATAGCAATCTTTAAATAAATTTCTTCAAGTTTTTTAGAAATGTCTTTGGAAACTGTTGTTCCATCTGATATGAGAATTTCATTATTGAGGAACATTTCTGAACTACTTAATAGATTCATATCCTTCACTATATCATGTACAATATTTCCTTCTTCTCCGTGACACCTACAAAGGTAATATTTGTTATATACTGAAACAATACATAATACAGCAACATTCTTTAGTGTTATGTAATAAAATTTGCCATTCAATTTGTTCTTCAAATCATTGTTTTAGAAAAGAATTAATAGAGGAAATTTTGATGGATCTTTACAAACCATTGTGCTCCTAAATCCACAGTGTTGTTTCCAAATAATGTTGTGTGAATCCTACCACCAATTCTATCACTAGCTTCTAAAATAATCACATTTCTTAAACCATTTTTATTCAATTTAACAGCAGCAGATATTCCTGCAGCTCCAGCTCCGATAATTACAATATTTTTTGCCATTTGAACTAACTTTGAGGTTATGTTTACAATTTTAATTTCTGACAATGAGTATTATTTGCAGTGTTTGAAAAACTGTGAGGATCAATGATTCTCAAAATTTTTCTTACTATTGGTCGCGCCGAATGAAAGAAGCAAAACTAAAAAAATATAGAAAAAAAAACTGGTCAGATAAAAATAAAAAAATGCTTTGTTTTTGTTTTAGAAATCAATAAGATAAAAATTATAATTAAATATAATTAAAACGTTATATAAAACAAATATAAAGTTATAATTAAATATAATTACAACGATATATTAGAATATAACAAAATGGAGTACTCAATAAACCCATAAATTTAAAATTTATTTTATTCTGTAAATTTATTACATTTATCACAAACTATCAAAGTCAAAATGTCAGTATGTCTATTAAAATTTATTAACCATTTTTAACTTTACACTCGCTATTCTGCCATAATTTTCTAAACGTTTCTATGAATTAATTATCGCAAGCGCACTATAAATACAATATTGTAAAAAAATATGTAAACTAAAGATAAGATTTGCGTTATTATTTCCTATTAAACTACTCAATAAAATATTAGATTAGAAGTTATGGTTTGTGTATTTATATTTATGCAATGCTATCGAGATTTTCTGACCACAAATAATAAAACACTAATCATAATAATGTTTATTCGAAATTTTATCGATATTTTTTTAATTGAAATTTGTAATTGTATTTACTATTAAATCTAGAATAATGAACTAGTATTTTTTATACATTATTTATGATTAAGCTTAAATATAAAAGGCGTAGAAATACAGTTTGGACAAATAATACTGACTTAAATTTCAATTCCACCCTTATGTACAGTATACTTATAACATTTTTTTATTAATTATTTTTTGCTAAATATTAATATATATTTTCAAAATTATGTCAAAGATTGAGTATTCACTTTTGAATTATCAAAGATCGTAGAAGTAGATAACCAAAAATTGTAAATGTAGTTGACAATTTTCAGAAGGAATTGTTAAAGAAATATATACAAAAATGATTTTTACAATTTTTTACAAAAGTACTGATTTATGTTTTCTTAATACTTTTAATATCTTTTATCTAATTATTCTATTAATTTTTTCTATCTATTCATTTTATTAATTTGGCAGCATTCTCAATGCTTTGCTTTTTGCTTTATTCGAATAATTCCACAGTTAATATTGCATAATTAGGTTAATTATTTCAAATTAAGACCACATTTTATATAGAAATGATATACAAACATATATAATATATAAATGAGTCATGATTTCTTTGTAAAAAAATAAACAAGTTTTTTTGAAACAAAACTATAGTATTCACAATAGCTATATTTATCTCATGAGTATAATAAATTCCACATGTGAAACAATTATTTTTGTTAATTTATTAATATTCATCACTGGCCATTCTTTGTGCTTTTGCTGAGATTAATTATTCTATTAGCTTCTCTAAAACCGCTTTCGGTAGCTCCGTGGACCGTTGAATAATAATTCTGACTCGTAGCTTCTCCAGCAAATAAAATAGCTGACCTGAAATATTTCATAAAATATTCTAATTTACAGGGGTTTTTTCATACGAGCACAAACTGTTTACAAATTGATCAAAACTGACAACATGCAACTGATTCAAACATTTGCAGATTTAGTTAGTTTGTAAATTAGAATTGAACGAAACCAGGGTGTTCCAGAACTGAATGTCAAGCCGAAAGAAATGAAGTATGATGTTACAATGCTACAATAATTCATAATGGGCTGTAACTTGGCAAAATTGCTGAAACTATAATTATAAAAGAAATCTCAGAAGTCCTCATGGTTCCGGTGCGAGCTAAAAATTAATACATTTTTTGGATATAATTCTATGCTGTACAATTTTGTCAAAGGTAATTTTGCGATGAAAGTGACGAATCGATTATGAAAATTTAAAAACCGTTCGAAAGATATTGGTTGGGAATCGTGCTGATTAGTTTTTGGTAGAGATCGGCCGGGCCGTTTTCTGGTAATAAAGTGTTAAAAAAATTTTTCGACGATTTTTATTATTACTTTTTTAACGATAGATACATATATAAATAAAGAGCAAATATCTACAGACCTTCCTGATGCATCAATGACAGGTTGTGATAATTCTGTAGAACTGCCACCAAAATTTTCAGTTTTTAGTAGTCGAAGCGAATAAGAACCTCGGCTATATGGATTTGTTCCCATTTGCTTCTGTAATAAAAAAAATAAACCATAAGGATAAAAAAATTGATAAACTTATAAGCAAGTAAAATCATATCTTTCCAGAAAAGACAATCACAAAAAACAACATCAAAACAACATCGCATTGCGATCTTGGACATCGCCGCGCCGAAGTCATTTTTGTTGTATAGAACGTTCATTGAGCGCGGAGTAATGTCACATTTGCGATATATTAATTATAAGATGTTTAATTTAAATAAATGAGTGCACGTACCTTAATACCTCAACAGGATCGCAGTACCTTTTAGCAGTTTTTGATTCATATTTTGTCACAATTTTCTTATTAAATCTGAACATATTTGTAAAACTTTTTCATCGCTCAAAGACTCCATAATTTTTGCCGAAGGACCAGTCACCCAACCGCAGAGCACATCGGAACATTGATCCACGGTGTAGAAGCCAAATACATCATCCACCCATTTTCTAATTCATTCTATCAAAAAACATATCTACAATTATACGGCATAATGTATTTTATAAATACTTTCAATAATATAAGTAAAGAATAAAAACCTTTTTAAGTAATTCCTCTCTATCTTCAACAGTCCACAATAATCTGATACCGTTCCATTCAGGAAGCCACCATTTGTTTTCGAAGCGAAGAAAAATTTATCGACAGTGCCAAAACCCAGATTTTCTATACAATTTTTTTTGTACTGTGGCAAATTTGGTGTAAATAATGTCGGACTAAAAAATAATGCTGGCAAATTTTTTGCGTTTGAGTAACAATTTATTTACATCACCTATAGTCACCTATTTTTAAGCACTCCTAAAGGAACACAACGATAACATGATCTGCCTCATATGTAGAATTATCTTTACATTTTATTAT